CATTTTAAATCTACATTTTTTCTGGCTGAAAAGTCAAAAATATAGGAATATATTTTTAAGGCCATGAACTACGAAAGATAAGTCATGCAGGTAATTGATTAAATTTATGCCGTAACGTCAAGTGGCAAATGTATCGTTCATATTCTTGACAAGATTCAAAACGGGTCGATTGGAAACACATGTTCAATAAATTATAGTGACAATGAATAAGACGACACGTTGGAGAGGCAAACATAATGTACCATATTCTAGCAGCCTCTCTGTATGGAGTATATATCTCCCGGTGGATACGATATGCTATATCTTGCATTTCCTTAATAGAGAGTTGCCACTAATTTGGAGTAGACAGTGGTGAAGATGAAGTCATTCCTTCACAAGTTGGCTAATCGTTATGGAAGATCTGTTTCTAAGTTGACGACAGCAAACATTCCGTTCTCCTTTTCTCGAACGTGAACTACCGAAAAAGACTTATCAGCGCGTTTGTACTTACATGAGCAACATGATGGGTGCCAAATGAAGAACATGATCGTCTTACACTTCCGGTGCGCCTGAGATCACCCCAGGTTTTTGGTGGGGTTCTTGTTGCTCAGTCTTTATTTTTCTATGTTGTGTTTTATAAACTGTTGTTGGTCTGTAATTCGTTTATTTGCCATTGAGTTGTCAGTTTATTTCTAACTTTTGAGTTTGAATGTTCCTTTGCTAGATTTCGGCTCTTCTTTACATGAATAACATTAAACAATGACAAATAAAATACGTAGGCTGTTCAAATTACCCACAGCCCCTTTCTCTTTGGGGTAGACGAATACCCTACAACAAACCGACAATGTATTTATAGGCAATGGCGACTGTCTATAAATCAATTTTATTTATGTGATAAAATTAAGTTCGATTATTCCATGTGTATCTTCCCCCTCTCTTCGCATACACCTTCCAAGTGCAGTCAACACTAGTAGGTTTCAGACTGGTTTGAATGCACACACTTATATCGTTTGATTTTTAACTGAAATGATCAACTAAATGCACTTGAAATATTTTCAATTGTAAATAATTGTATTTTACTTGTCGTCTTTTTCAGTCCTATTTTGAATCCTCTGATTTTAAGGTTGTGTGTCTAATTAGTCATATAAAATGTTTTTTAGTAAGTCGAACCACAACAGAAATACCGAACCCGGGTTAATAGTGAACCTTTAAGTCTAGAATATGGATACCGTTTTCCGTCTGCTTTAGAGTGACATTCTAGTGCCATATATGCTTTCCTGGTGTGCATACGCAGCAAAGCTTTTTAAAGTTGATATACTGTGTATTTGCTCATTTGGCGACCATAAAATATACAAATGTGCCTTGCTTCTTTTATCAATGAAACTCATATGATTGAAAAAAAAAATATAACACCACGAATTGACTGAAATTTTAATTTAAGATGGTACCCAACACCTTGACTAATATTAATTTGGCTCGTTTAATTTTCATAAAATTTTGACAAAATGTTTACTTTGACCCTTTGACAAAAATATAAAAATTTCAAAAAATTTGAACCAACCACTTTATCAGAAAAATTTCATTGGTTATATAGCAGTTTGACAAACACTAATTTTGATCATTGAGAAGCTAAATATATACTTTACAATACAACGTTATTAAAACGTTTAGCTGATTTTTACAGAGTTATCTCCCTGTAGTGTTAGGTACCACCTTAAGATTGATTTCATAGAAATGCATTTGTATTATATTTTTTTCTTTCTTCTAAATACCGTAATATATTAAACAAATATTTCAAATGCATATACATATTTTCCTACTCGAATATCTTACAACTATTAATTTAGGCAGTAGAGATATATCAAACATGTTTAATTCAATGAAAGTTAATGTCTTTGAATATTACTGCTGATTAACAAATTTAACTATATCTTGTGTACTAGCTAGAACACAAACAGACAGGTATTTCCAAGTCTTCTTTTTATTACCGGTAAATATTTTTCCTGTTACAAAATATAAGTTAATATAAACAACTAGTTGTTTTACGTCATAGACTGAATGTCTTTACAACCATGTCTTTAAATCTTTATCTTTTACAGCCGATTTCAATGAGTGTATAGGCAAAGGTAATATCTTTGGTAAGCTTGCTTGCTAGCTGAACCGTGAAGTCATTGTTAGGTTAGGTAAACTACCCTTCTTCAAGAGTAGACTAGTCCGACAGGTAACCAATTTATCTGTCTGTAGGACTAGGCTACTTAGAACGGAGGGTAGTATACCTTACCTAACAATGACTTCGCGGTTCAGCTAACAAGCAAGCTAATCAAAGATATAACCTTTAGCTACACACTCATTGAAATCGGCTGTAAGCTGATATATCTTTTTTTTTGACATGAATAATAATATGAAGATACTTCTGGGTATGCTTTTGATTTTGATTTTTTTTTCAGGACAATGGTTCTTTATATTGTACATATTGTTTCTAACGTTATTTTAGCTGCCCATTTAATTCAAGCACCAAGTACGGGTAAGTTTTGTAGTTTTGTTTTATATTATTTATATCTACAAGTCCAATTGCCGGATTTTAGTTGTTATTGACGGGTTGTTACATATACAGTGTTTTATACAAAGCGTTTCACGTTACTAACTTCAAACTTTCTTATCCAGTGTATGGATTTTACATAACATGTGTTGATACATCTAGATTTGAAAGAAATCCCCAAAACAACCAACCAACATTGCATTGTTATTTCGTTGATCAGCTAAAATTGGCCTATCACAAGGTTCCGTTCGACTTAATAAATTGGTTGATAATTAATGTATCGGTTTCAAGTTCAGTAGAAAACTTTCCCTTGCATATACCTTGAAGTTAATAATTAGTACACAATGCATAAAAATCTCACAATATAATCAGCCTTGCTGCGTTATATGACTCATCAATGACAAAGTTGTAGAGTTTGAAATACCTAACAAAAGATGTGACGCCTACCACAGGTTCTAACCTACATCGAATGGGAGGCATTTATTGAAATAAGACGATAGAATTGTCTACCTTTGTTTCAGGTGATGTAAGATTGGACAATTCAAAAAGGCTTGAAATTTACTATTATGGTGAATGGGGTACAGTTTGTGATGATGGGTTTGACAATAACGACGCTAAAGTAGTCTGTCGACAGTTGGATACAGGTTTATACATACTCAACTATAGATAGTCTGCAAATGTTTACTTATATCAATGACTTTAGCATATCAGCGCATTCCCTTACAATCCATAAATGCCAATAATCACTGGTACGGATATAATCAGCTGTTATATGAATCCTATCATTATTCATGTTATTGTCTCAAACAAATAATTATAATAGAAATTGTGAACCCACAAATGTCTTTTTCATTAATAATGAACTTGTTAATGTTCTCAAAAGTTTATATATTGTTTCCCTCTCAACATTTTAATCTCTAATATACTTTTACCCAGCTACTAATAAGCAAAACAGTATTGTGTTTCGTTGTCAGCATCATCAAATCACTAATTGATTAAGGTATCTCCTCAAACACAGTACTATTACTATAACTATATTACACTACTAGTAATGCCTTCAAGTAAACATGGTAAATATGTCATATAAAATATTCCGGAAAGGTTGACTGTGATGCCAATGACTCCAATTTTGCAACTGACAACTTATTGCATTTAAATAAGAAAGGCCTTGGGTGCTATTGCATTAAAACTGAATGTGTTAGTGTTATACTCAACGTTACACGTTTGGTGGTACGAACTACAATACACCACCGACTTGATAGACGTTGCAGTTATCTAGGAAAGCGTCTTGTATGATTACCTATCATCTACGACTCGGAAAGACCCGGCAGTGACTCTCAATATTTGCCTCGTGTGTATAGAGATTTTCCGAATTTGCAAATTTTCTACTGCTTAATAGTGAAATAATATAAACTATCTTTAAACAGTTTTTAGTACACTTGTCGATTGCAATCCAACTCATGTATTTGATAATTCCTTTGAAATCTTCCGGAAAATAGTCGTATACTTTATTAGCTATAATTCAGGCATATAAATATATATAACAGATTTCTGTGTTAACTGCAGCAAACATATTCTCACAATCTAGTCAGTGTTACAAGTATTGGAATTGTTTCTCTAACTTATTTTAGTCAATATGAATGGAAGATTTGACATTCTGCTTATAAGTTATTTTTTTGGAATCGTTCGCTTAAAGCATGGTTATACCGACAACACGAGACGGAAAGGACCAAACAGACATTCATAAATCATAAGAAGGAAAAAAAACCAATATTTCTATGACAAAAAAAAAGCCCGAAAGGCCAACAATAGTCAACACAAAATTACACCTAAATCTTACAAGTAAGCAAATATAAACCCAATATATGCTGTTGAGAAATAATCCGGAAGAGTGATCGGATCTTGTTAAACATGCGGCAGTTGTCGTATGATTTATTTCAAGTGTAAATTTGATTAAAATTCTAATTTGGTGATATTTCAATCTAGTAAAAGATGATGACCTGGGCTATTGCAACGACAGTCAGAGCATATCTGTGTGCAGCCTGGACACATATATCCCACAGTATTATGCTAAGCCTAACCAATGACAAACATAAGAAAAGATAAGCACACCCTCAGTATTGAAACATAATATGGTGATCTGGGAAATTTCCAATTAGTTTCGAAACATACAAAATGAGAATTAACAATTCATTCATATACTGTTAGATAGTTATATTCAATTTCAACTTTCATCTGCATCAAACTTTTTGGTATGTTTATACTTTGCTAGAGAGTGGATAGTCATAATGGCATTTAATCACACTTTGTTTTTAAAGTATAAATGCATAAGAGGTATTCCTTAGACAAACGTTATTTCTTTTTTATTGATGATTCATGACCAAAAAAGGGTAATCAACAGAAACCAAATCCAGTTTTTGTACTATTTGGATCTTACTAAATTGATCTTTAATATAAAATACACATGTCTTTTATAAGCAATGGAATTTCATTGGGAAATGCTGTAGATGATGGCACGGGTACCATAATGCTTGACGACATAAAATGCACTGGAAGTGAAAGCAGATTGAGAAATTGTCCAAGTTCAAGCTGGAAGGTACACGATTGCACTCATACCGAAGATGTAGGAGTTCTTTGCAATAATCTCAGTCCAGGTATTATACCACGTTTAATCAAGGCTTTAGTGTATGATCAATGTCCTTTATATTAAAAAAACATTGTTGAACTGATTGCGTAATGTATGAACTTGTGTCAACGTCTTATTCAAAACCCGCAAAACGAGTATATACATGCCTATTTCTATGCTAACGTGATTGATCTACAGTTAATCAAACTTTATCAATTGGCAAGAATACACGGAGTTAATGCACAGACATGAAGATAAAAAGTGATTTACTAGATACAGTTATATCCTGTTACGTCGACAGGCTGATCGTCTCTTGTTTAGCATGGATCACTCGTTATGAGCAACGACACTCATTCAAAATATCAAAATCGGGAATAGAATAGAATTTTTTAAATTAGAAATAACGGGACTTTTCTGATATGAATGATAAAGCCTGCAAATATATGTCGTTAGTAAGTTGAGGTACAGATATATCGTATATGTCAACCAATTAGTAATGGTGACTGTAAAACTTATGTAGTGTTAAACCGATTTTTTTCTGCATCACAATATCATGTTAAGCACTATCACTCGACACTTACAAATTTAGCTGATTTTTACAGCATCCTTCAAGAAAGTAACATTTTAATGAAACACAACTACTTTAAATTTGTTAATGTATTCGTGACTTTTTAAAGTTAATGGTGGTTGGTCCAATTGGGCACAATGGACTACATGTAGCAGCAGCTGTGGGGTTGGGCTTCAGACAAGAACACGTCAATGCAACAATCCTTCAACTCAATATGGAGGGATATACTGTTATGGGCTTTCATCACAAACAAGAAAATGCAATACTAATTTTTGTCCAGGTAAATAGCATGCGTATCAAAATCAAGCAGTTAACTCCTACTATAAATTATATTTCTATTGTGAAGTATGACGTTCTTTTTTTGTGATTCGTGATATATGTATACAAAATTGTACAGCGTAAGCACAATTAAAGATTTGTTAAACTATTCTAGAAATTGATTAACGTTTGATAATATATTTTTTAGTTACCGAGCATGATCTTCAGGTTTTACACAGCAAGATACAAAATGCATTAATAATATTTGTTGTTTCTTTTATTTACATCAATTAGTTGATGGTGGCTGGAGTACATGGGCAATGTGGAATTCCTGCAATGTAACCTGTGGTGAAGGAATACAATTGAGATTTCGTAGCTGTAATCATCCTACTCCAGCATTTGGTGGCCTAAAATGCAGGTCAAAGGACTCTGAAACGAAACAGTGCTTCAATGCAGAATGTCCAAAGGGTAACTTTATGATTGAAAACAAAATGGAGTAATGGGAAAACGGATTTGCCGAAAATCAAAAAATAACTAGCTGTTGGGAGGCATTACTTTTGTTCTGAGTTTTTTTCTTCATTATATGAAATAGAGAAAGCTACTACGAAGAAAGGCTAACGATAATGCTTCTCTATATTTTTAAAATTTAATCGAAATGTATTAATATTTTGACTATTGTTTAATAAAACGAAATTGATTTCAAATATTGTCTACAAAGAAAGAAGCCATGAGCCATTTCAATAACTTCATTAAATTTGTAACATTCATTACGTCATCTTAAAACACAAATTTCCAAAGGGTAGCTATCCTATGAATGGGAGATATTTACATGTTAATCGCTTTCAATCGCTAACTTCAAATGCGTTTAATGTATCTGTGATATGTCCGATACGTAAATTCAGTTTAACTAATGTCAGTTGTCTGAAGGTTTATACTAAACACGTAACGGTTTCAATTACCTAGAACTACATTGAACACACATTCTATTTTTTCACAGATAATTAATATTTATTAATTAATTCTATAAATGTTTTTACAGTAATTGATGGCGGTTGGTCGACATGGACAAACTGGACAGCTTGCACAAGACTTTGTAATGGTGGCCTCATGGAGAGAGCACGTAATTGTGACAGTCCTCCACCGATAAATGGTGGATTGTATTGCAATGGTACTTCAACTGAAGCAAATCTTTGCAACACCGTCTCTTGTTCAGGTGAATTCATGGAACATGTGGAAATGCAAATTCAAATTCATGCAACAAAATTATGTGATTAAAATATAAAACTTAAATAACTAAACTTCTCTATGTTTACGTATGAAACACGTCTGTCTAGGCTTATGTACATGTATATATGTTTTTGACCGTTAGTTCCACATGAATTTTTGTTTTAAAAGTGCTAGAAACTTATGGAAAGTGGTAATATTAATTTTTTCTTACTTTTCCATTATTCGGGCAGCAAATGATAGAGATCGAACACATCTTTTACGTTGTCTAAGTATATTGTGGATAAGGCAATAATATTATAAGTTTAATATTTCAAAACATCTTCATTCTATTAACTTGACAATAATATGTCAACATTTACTGTACTTGAATAACTGAACTTCTCTGTGTTTACGTATGAAACACGTCTGCATAGGCCTATGTACATGTATGTATGTTCTTGATCGTTTGTTCTATATACATGTAATGCCTTATATCTTTAAACTGTTGAAACATATACGTGAAAATATAATATTATAAAGACCCTTCATGGTTTGGGAATTATAACCTATTATATTTCTATCTTTACACATTAGTGCTGACAATTAGTCCTTTATCAAAACAAAGACAATTAACAATGAACCGGGTGCGGGATTTTCTGGCTGTGTTGAAGACCCATTGGTGGCCTTCGACTGTTTTCGGCTCTTTGGTCGGGTTGTTGTCGCTATGATACATTCGCCATTTCCATTCTCAATTTTATTTACAATTGGTATGTGTTCTGCTGTGAACCATGAAGATGTAGTAAACATCTTCGTTTTTCACAATTTTAAAGCTCAAAATATAATCCTTTAGCATTATTGGTTAACATTAGGCATAGAAACAAAAATGGTGTTAGCTTTAATAATTGGTGGAGTAGCTGTGGTATGCATTCTGATTACAGTTGCCTTGATGTTGATCTGTAAACGTGTGGTTACAAGCACGAGAATACCAAAGAAAGGTACACTTATATTTATCGCCTTATCTACAAAATGATACATGCAATAGGTTCGTTATCATATTACGTACCTCCTTACACAGGAGTATGTAATAAAATGTATATAATTGTTAATACATGTAGCGACACAAAGAGCTTTTTGTTCATAAAATAAGGGGATGTGGAATGATTATCAATGATCACCTATCAAACAAAGTTCAACCTAGTGGATTTGGGTGCTTATAGGTCAAGGTACTGCCGAAAACAGTAAGCAAACCCTATATCGTATAGTGAGCTTAAAAAAAGCCCCGATTTGAAAATATGTGAAACAACTAAAAAAATATAGGTCAAACGACCTGATTTATGACAAACCAATTAACGTAAGATAAATATGACAGATGACAAACAACAACAACCACTGCAGGCTCTTGACTTTGGAAGGCACATAAAGTATATGGTTGGTAACACATCGTTGTACATGTAAGCCCCCAACTCTTCCCTATCATGGAACAGTGTTGTAACAACACCATATAAGAACACACTACTACAATCAGTTGTAATAGGATGAACTCAGCAGATCGACACGAAGCACGCCAAAACAACTTATATAAAGTCAAGAACCATAATACCGAAGGATAGTTCAAAGCGAATAACAACTAACAAATACGTCAAAATCTCGCAGACCTAAGTATGAATCAGTGCACATCCCACAAACTTAGTTTCATGAACAATTTGAAAAACGCATTATATTTTGCAATACCAAAATATGAGGACATAATAACGATATGATGTATGATCATCAGTTTTCATGTGTAGCAATGCAAAAATTTGTTATGTTTAAATGTATTCAAAACATAATCAATTTTAGTATCGATAGGAAAACATATAGAAAGAAGAACATCACTACCATGTTAAATTGATGTCCTCTAAGAATAAGTTCTAATCAAACTATCAATGAGTTTGCAAGGATCTTTCTTACGTAACGGGCTTTCTTATCAACTTCATCTTCGAAATCAGGATTTGTTAATCCGGTTTTAGTAAACAAAAATATTGACAGGTGTTTGGAACTATTTAGATGTTTTATCCCGTTGGATATCAAGTCATAACATAAAGACAAACCTATTGTTGTCATAATAGCTTTATTAAAGTAGATAACATAGTCGCTGTTCTCTGATAAGTCATATAGTTTTTCTTTACTTTTAAAAAGTATGGTTAACACTAAGTCATGGATCAAAGGTCAATATTACAGACATGAAGTGACTCTTGCAAAGAACAAGTGAACAAATGGAATAGCATAGCTGTTTCTAAAATAAAAACGTGTTCCCTACCATTTTATTGCCTTAAAATTACATGAATCTTACGTTGGCTTTAAGTCTATTCATAAACCTGCTAATTTTGCTTATAAGGGTTCAAAATGTACTTTGACATGTCTTATGCAGAAAGAATATGATACATTTTACAGAATTATTCCGACTTAAACGTAAACAAAAACGATTATAAAACACATCAAAATTACAGTACAAACGGATGATGACTATTACAAGGAATTTAAATGTAACTGAGTTTAGTTTCATTAAAAAAAAATGGCGCCAATATGTAGGTTTGCGAAAGATCAAAGGTCAATTTAGAAAAAAAAAAAGTTTTGAAACGTAATTGAAAACGTACAAGAGGCGAAAGATACCAAACGGACATTCAAACTCATAAGTCGAAAATAAACCGACAACGCCATGGCTAAAAAAGAAAAAGAACAACAGACAAACAGACAAACAACAGTACACAAAACACAGCATAGAAAACTCAAGACTGAGCAACACGAACCCCACCAGAAACTGGGGGTGATACCAGGTGCTCTGGAAGGGTAAGCAGATCCTGATCCACATGTGGCACCCGTCGTGTTGCTCATGTAAGTACAAACCCGGTTATAAGTCTGATTCGGTAGGTCACATTCGGGGAAAAGAGGACTGGATTGTAGTTACGACAATTGGAACATATCCGCTCTCATCATATGTATAATGAAAAATGGAAACTATTTCACTGACGGTGAGTACGTATTTTAAAAGTAACCTTTAACATGTAACCTCAAGACAAGTTGTTTTTTTTATAAATGAAAGACAATACAAGCTTGTGTTGTATTTTTGTCATTTACCTTGTTATATATACTTGTTAGGAACAAGTTAAAAGGAAAACGTCTAACAAAGCATCTTATAACTTTAAGGTTAACTTTGCTAGATTCAATATATTGATTCTTAAACCAACATGTAAAACGATGTTTTAATGCATTTGTTTTTAGAAATTGCAGATACGCCCTTAAAAGAAGAAACGTAAGTTACATTTAACTTACCCATAATGATAGATTATTTTCTTTTGCCTTCGCGTACCTGTTAAGTTTCCAGCTGAATTGCGATACGTTCAATACAATATGACATTAATACTGTAGTGTCAGCAAATTATTCAGGAATGTCATACAGTGTTACAGGGTAGATTAATGTTTGTACAGTTATGATCCACTATATTTTATAATGAATAGTTTAGGAATATTTAACACATTAATAAATCATGTAAATGTTCTGAGTGCAATACATTAGTTGATGGATTTGGAACGGAAGTCGACCACCTCCAAATGTAATTTGTAGCCAAGCTAACATATTTTGGAATAGTGTTCACGATTTACAATTGCGGTCGTTCCATTTTGTATAGTAAACACACTTGCATTTGTCTGTGTGTTTGTTTTAAAGGCATTTTTCAGATTTTATTCATGACGGATAACAAATCATATATGTGGGATGTAAACAAACTGAACATGTGAACAATTGTTTCAGTGTATATGATTGATTTAATAGAGTCATTTAGTTATAACTATGTTTTGTTTTTGTCGTCACTTATTTCCATTCTCATAATAATACTGATACATCTGTAAACGCATAATTTCCTATGCACTCATAAAATCTATAATATTGCTTTCTGTTTAAGGGAAGAGTTGTACATATACCAAGAATCAGACCGGTCGACAAAAACAAACACGGGCTTTAAAGAGGAAACGTAAGTTGAATTTACGTTCGCTCTTAATTAATCAAAATGTAGTGTCAGCAAGTTATTTGGTACTGTTAGGGGACAACCATTAGATATTCTGGGGGGGGGGGGGGGGGGGGGGGGGGGGGCAGGAGGATTTGTTTTGGATCGGTTATTTATTTTTGTAAACTAAGAGGACAGATTATTTATTTCCTGCACTGTTGAAGCAAGATTTTTCATTTTCATTAAAACAAGGGACTGATTATTTATTTTCATAACTATATTAATAATATTTGAAAACATACAATTCATTATTTATTATAAATAATACATGTACAGTCAAGTCATTAATGTACCATTTAATCAGAATTAATCATCATCCTCTGCGGAAATGAATCTTCTGAATTCCAAACTGCATAAACATGTATTGCATACATACACGGTATTAGAGTTGGGCTGTGACTAGCCTCTATTAAAAGTATTGGCAAATATATTTACGCCGAGCAGAGCGAGGCAAAAAAGTTTTGAAGGGTTTTGAAGCCGCTGAAGGCCCAAATAAACTATAGAACAAATGATGCAAAATCGTGCTTTCTGGGCGTTCCTAGACCTTTTCTTATTCTGAAAACGCAAGTTCTGTTTTAATAATTTTTGACAATATTTTGGTCTCAAAGCAAAATGTATAGATTCAGCGTAAGATTTAAGTTTTTATGGACAACATCAAAAGACCAATATGAAGAACAAAGTAAAAATGTAATTCACATAGTTTAGTATGTGGCTGCTGTTTTTTTTTTGTCTGGTTTTTTTTTTGGTTTTTTTTGTTGTTTTGACATTCAGAATCTTAATCTTTTATACCTGTAAATTATATGGGGTTTTATTCAAATTAAATTAAGAGGGGGCTGTTTATCAGTGATATAACTATGTCAAGTAATTTTTAATAACACATTTCTATTACAACTTGATGTAGCTCTTAACTGGGATACAATTTAAAGTAGTTAAGTTGTAAAATTAGCTAAAAAGTCTTAAATAAAATAAAACTCATGATCAAGTTGAAAACAAAATTACTAAATCACAAAAGGAATGCAACACTAAGAGAATACAGAAGGGCAATCAATGAACAAAAGACAAATTTAAAGAAACATTGATCCCGAAAAAACAGGTGCTACGTCCAAGGGAGAACAGAACTTGCTTCTTGCAAACACTCACTGTCAAAACAATTTGATATGAAGACAAGCTTTTGGTTTTAAAATTTCCTTAAAGGCATTTGCTCAATGTAGTTACAGCCCTATAATAAAAGTGAGGTAAGTGTTCCAGAGCCAATATACCTCAAGTTAAATGAAACCCATTTCAGACATTTGAAGTATATTTAAATAATATTTATACCTTTATTATTAAAAGATTTGGGAAGTGTTTCCCGAATTTTTTTTTTGTAAAAAAGATGAATTTTATGAAGAATCTGGTGCCACCTCATACTTTCGAATTTCATTTATAAAATGGCTTGAAGACCTGCCGAGTTATTCATTTTCAATACATTGTAAGTCAGGTTATTTATTTTTGAACTACCACAGAACAAACCATTTATTTTTGTGATTATCAAGGCTGAGTTATTTATTTTCAAAATCCTCCTGCCCCCCCCCCCCCCCCCCCCCCCCCCCCCCCCCCCAGAATATCCAATGGTCGTCCCCTTTTATGCATTTTATGTTTCTTTACAATTATGATTTAATAATTAGTTTAAGAATAGTTAACACATTAAAGAAGGTTCTGAGTTAAATATGGCAGTTGATGGCTAGGAAACTGAAGTCTACCACTTCAGCTCCCAAAACAAAATGTAATAGTCGTATCCAAGCTAATGCAAATAATTCTTAGGACGAGTTTTCATTATAAATAATTTCTGTTTCATAAATTTACTTATATCAAACAACATATCTGTACTTGTAAACAGACTGAACGCTCACACGATTATTTTAGTGTTTATGATTTGATGTAATAAATGATTTCGAATAATTAGAATGTTTTGTTTTTGTCGTTTCTTATTTCCCATTTCCATTCGAAAGATAATACTAAAACATCTGTAGATATCATAATGTCTGTTACACTATTTGATAATATTTGTTTTCCTTTTAAGGGAAGAGCTGTACATATATCAAGAATCAGACCAGCCAACACAAGCCTTCCATAATTCAGCCTACATCAAAGACTACGATTCCAAGAATGTTGCTAAACCTGGAGTGGAATTTGATTCATGTGACATTTATGATAATTGTGAAGAAAGCTGTTATGAAAATTATTAGGACTGAAACAATTTTTAACTAAAAACGATTCTGTTTGATTTAGACAAAAAAATGTAAAGTTTGGAATCGGTTAGAGGACACCTTTTCGTGTTCTATAGTTTTTAGCGTTTTGAGTTTCATGTTTCATATTTGTTTGTCTGTATATCATTTAGGGGCCAGCTGAAGCCCACCTCCGTGTGCGGGATTTTCTTGTTGCGTTCACGACAAATTTGTGGCCTAAGGCTGTTTTTCTGCTCTTTGGTCGGGTTGTTGTCTATTTGAAACATTCCTCGTTTTCATTTTCAATTCTATCATTTTAGATATTTGCGTTATAAAACGAGACTAACAGTAATAACTTCATAGAGTCCGGATTTTCCGTATTAGTTGCACTTTACTCGTCTAAAGTGTATTGCAGTTACTTCACAGGTTTGTCTTGTAAAATGAGCGATAATCCAAATTGAACTATATTCAATTGTCCTATGAAATTTTGTACAAATATAAAAGTGATCCAATTGATGTAGATAATTACCGTGGAATAACCATTCGTATTTGTTATGAAGAATGCTTTATTTGTATTCTAAACAGCAAATGGCATGAATATTTGAAACTTTCTGGTTTATTATGTGAAGACCAAGCAAGGTTTAGAAAAGGTTTTATAGTTTTTATACAGATTATATATTCAATGTTGAATTGATTTATATCTGCACGGAGGAATCCCATTTGTCTGCGCTGCTGGTGATATCGCTCATTACCTGATTCTGTCATATCCGCAATGTAACATATAACGAATATATCTTGTAATTGTTTAAGTCTTCCGTAGGGACAAAAAAAAGTTGATAAGTTCAAGCATGAATTCATAATTGTAATCCCATGATAAACCATATTTAGACATTTTCCGTCAACAAAAATTGCATCATCAGATAAGGTTTTATTCATTTTAAGTCAAATCTTTATCAAAATGAATAAAATTTTGCTCTAAATCTGTGGCAGTCTGTTTGGTTCCAACTAAATTACATACCGTAGTATAAAATCTTTCCTGTATTCAAAATTAGCTATCTTTAGAAGGCATGCGCGACATCACCGGACGTTTGAAAAACTGTTTAATTTTGGACACTCATTACATAAAATCTTAACGGTGAAACTATATATAAAGAGAGGATTGGTGCTCACAAGGAAGCTATTAAACCAAGAGTTCCAAATGGTGAAGTTAAAATCATCCCTTCGTAAATTTTACGGACGCCATCACGAGTTGGTTGACCGTTATGGAATAACCGTATCACAGATGATATCAGATATGTACCTTATGTCGTAACTACAATACCCTTCCCTTTTCACGAATGTGACCTACCGAATTTGACTATTTCCCGGATTTGTAATAACATAAGCAACACGACGGGTGCCACATGTGGAGCAGGATCTGCTTACCCTTCCGGAGCACCTGAGATCACCCCCAGTTTTTGGTGGGGTTCGTGTTGCTTAGTCTTTAGTTTTCTATGTTGTGTCATTTGTACTATTATTTGTCTGTTTGTCTTTTTATTTTTGGCCATGGCGTTGTCAGTTTGTTATCGATCTATGAGTTTGACTGTCCTTCTGGTATCTTTCGTCCCTCTTTTAATGAAATCAGAGTATATCATGAATTTGTACACAGAATAGTATCCGACTATTGGTTTCACGAGATTTCCGAAGTGAAGCTAAAAGTCTTAGGTGGAAAGATACACCAGACTATACTGTTTATTGTTCTTTTGTTATCTGTCGTTAAGCTTCTTTCACTTTCAAAATAATATATTTATGGCAAAAATATATTAAGCTATACTGATGATGTTAAACTGTTGAAAATAATAAAATTTATGTATAATAATGCAAACGTGTAAATGATATTTATCATATGCTTGTTTTGATCTTGTTGATAGGAGAACTGATGTTCGTTCATTTGACATGTATGAAGTAACTGTATATATATATTTTTTAATTGTAATTATATATTATTTTAGCTAAGTCAGCACAAGAGCTACAGGCTGCATGCCTTGTATTTATATTGTACCAAAAGTCTATGTATTTACTTGATCAAGTCTAAACACGAATAGTGTTAATTTTAAGTATGATGGTAAAAAAACTAGACATTGTAATGAATTTCCAATACCTTGGCAGATTTATTTCAAAACATTATGTTTTGTTTCACCCTGAGTAATATATTGCCTTAGCAGTATTTGGCACAACTTATGAAAACTTTTGTTTTTTTAGATTCGCATTATGCTTTTGCTTTCCAACCGTTTTGTTTCGAGTGCCATTGAAGAGTCTTTATTAACGATGAGAACGCGTCTGGTGTAACAAATCATCAGCTGTTATACTCGATGAATGTTTTCAAGTACAGGTTCTGTTAATGATGCTAAATCACATATTATTAAGCAAGTCAGACAAGCCTTGTAAAGTGTTTTTAGAAAAAAAAAAAAAAAAAAAAAATTGACAGTGACATAACGGTTGTACCTATCTTATTATATAATGTAGAAGTGTTGGGTTATAAAATTTGTAAAATTTTATAGTCATTCTATTTGACTTTTTAGAAACAATTTAAAAGCTACAAACATAATTCCACATTATGATTTACTAGGATTTAGGTAGAACTCCATTTATTATTCCTGTACATACTAGAATAGTTGGCTTTTGTAAACGATTAATGTGCAGTTAAAAAAAAAAATTACAAACACTCTAAATTAAATTTGTTTGAATTAAGTTTGAAGATTTGTGGATTTCTAAATGGTTTTTAGATTATAAACAACACTTAACATTATTGACAGAATGAGAAGGTATTGTAACTTTCTAATAAAAATTAACTTTGGGTAATTTTCACTATGAATTCAAATTTACTTATCTCAGAAGTATAAGGCAATTGTTCTTCCTTCAAATATGTATATAAATCGGAAAGTTATTTGTTTAATGAAAAATTAATGTGTGCCTCTGTAAATAATACACTTATCTAGCTAGCTTACGTGTATAAAGTTGTTTTGGAAACTTTTTACCAAACACTTAAAACATTCACGAAATTAATAAAGTGTTATTTTCATTTACTAGCACTGGTCGACACCACTGCTGCTGGACTGTAAGAATTAACTAAGTATTTGTTGGTACGGTACTGACATGATTCAATCAAAGTTCTTAGCGAATTTTGTATTTTTGTTCGGGTTTTTATGTGGTTTGTATCGATCTGACGGGTTGAGCCCTTTTCAACTGATTTTTATAGTGTGTCCTTATGTCGTACTGTGAAACAACTGTCCTAGGTTAGAGGAAGGTTTGGCGCCAGAAAACATATGTAACCCCGCAACATTCTGTATGTGCCTGTTCCAAGCAAGGAGCCTGTAAGTCAGTTGTTATCATGTGATGCTGCATATCATATTTGTTTTTTGCTTATTGTTTTGTACATAAATCGTTAGTTTTCTCGTTTGAATTGTTTTACATTTCGTTTAATTTCGGACCCTTTTATAGCTTACTATGCAGTATGGGTTTTGTTCATTGTTGAAGGCCGAACGGAGACCTGTAGTTGTTAACTTTTATGTCTTTTGATCTATAGTGCAGAGTTTTCTCATTTGTAATCATACAACATATTCTTATTTTCATACTGTCTAAAATTGTCCACAAAAGCACTTCGACCGCACAGAATCAATAATGTGTTATTTTCCAAATACCATGAAGATACCATTGATACTGCTATGTACGATTTGTATATTTCACACTAGCTAACCAATTTTGAGGAAAATTGGCCATTTGATCTTAACAGCAATAAAAAGACAAGCAATAAGTTTTTAAGTATTTTTCTGTCTTTCCGTTAATTTTCAAAACCTATTACTGCGGATACGCTAGATCTGTTTAGTTTATGTTCATAATGTTCGGTAACTGTATTTCCCTGTACAATACAACATCAAACTGAATTGTCTGATAAGGTACTGTACAGTACTGGATTTACTGCAAGCACAATATATGTACAGTAATGATTTAATGACAAGAATTACCGTCTTTAATATCTGTCTTTTTCAATAATGTTAAGTTCAACATGACCGTTTCAGACTACAATTTCTTTACAAGTGGCACTCAATGAATGTTATATTAAAGCACTATGTATCATGATTTATGTGACATTCCATCAATGTAAATATTTTTATTGTTCATATTTATTTGTTGATAAATAGTGTATGTACATATCTCATGTCTGAAAACTTTAATAAAGTAAAGAAATCTCAAAAATCTCAAATCGCTAGAAATGCAGGACTCGGGATTCATTATTAACAATTTAAGTAGTTTTTATAGGTAAAGGTGAACAAAAAATTGACATATTCAACAATATACATATTTACAGATTTCCTATAGATTAATATGCAAAGTTTGGTAAAACAAAGAAATCAAATATCCACGGAAATACTTTTTTTCCCATTCCAAGAAAGTTGGTATCTAACAAAAGTTATGTATCCACAGTAAATGTATGCCCTGTTTCTAAACTACGTTAGCAAATTATGACTCTTGTCGAAAGTTTGGACGTCTCTTGTTAGAATTTCTAGATCATTGAGATGTAGAATACTAAATACATTACAAAAAAAAAAAAAAAAGAAAATGCCAAAAGTAACAGCTGTCCTGTTAAAAACTCAATTGAAAAAAAAAAAAAACGAATTTGTCTCATTTTTTTAATTGTTTCGGGGCTACTATTATTTACAAAATGTATTTTTCCAACAAATAGTGCGTCTGGCTCACTTAACTATAAAAAAATGTTAATTGTAGTCATTGAACATATTAAAAGGACAGTACGATTACTTGTGGAACAGTTACTGTAAATACTTTATTTCTCTAGTAATTCTTAAAAACATATATGACACATTGTTACCATATAGATGTATGCAATACTAATGTGTACAGCAATTTGACTTGATAACTAGTTATCTTCACTGGTCAAAGTTAACTTGCAACTGATTTAAGGACTGCTTTATCGGTCATAGGACCAAAATCAAAATAACTGAAAAAGCAGATTTAGTCCCCGGACTGTTTTTATGAATGCAGAAAGAGTAAACTTTAGGCAAGTCCGCTACCGAATGTATCTTTGAAACCAATCTTGTCAATCATTAACGTTGACCTTGGCATCTCCGATCGAACCAGATTTGTTCTATAGTTAACTTTTTGCTGGTCTGCTCAGCTCAACACTAAGTTAATTTGTGTCTTCAACTGCTTCACATCGATTGATAAAATCTTTTAAAATGTCTTCGTTTCTTAATATAAACAATACACTTGTAATAAATACAGTACACATAAAACTTGACTACAATAAAAATAGCCCCCTCTTTTGCATTTAAAAAAAAAGAAAATCGGTTAAAAACAATCAGCTAATGGTCATTGTATAATGCAAGAAGTAGTGAATAAAGAAAAAAACTAAAACTTGAAACGCTACTATAAATTAGTAGGTTTGAAACATGTATCTAAAGATGGTTTGCATAACTCATTTGTTTGCCAGCATAAAACGGCACATTCCATATGTGTATTTTTTATAATCAAAATCAGATGTCAGAATCACAAAATCAAAGTGCCAAAATTTCGTCGTGTTACTCAAAATATTGGATTGACGCTAAAATCAGTAGTTTTTATATCGATTCCCGGATGGTTTTTATAACACATTTGTGTCCTCATCAGCCAATATTGACTATATTTGTACTTTATTATGAAAATTTAGTTATAGATAATGCATATTTTAAGGTTTGTCTTGTCGTATAACGAATCGAGGGTTGTCAGAATTGATCAAATAAAAGACAGACCTTAGGAAGATCTTTCTTTGGGCAATCCTGACACCCCGATGTGTGTTACACGACAAGAAAACCCTTACAATATTCATCATTTGACTTAAATATTGTTAAACAATTATTTTTTTGCAAATGCAAAAATTTGCAGGATTTGCATCCTATTTTACCGACCACACTAAAGTGGGATATTCTGTTCTGATTCGGTCAAGTGTTAATACGACTTACGGCTCATTTAAAATGTGAAATAACACTCACTAATTAATCTATATATAAACTTTAGCGATCATTATTCAGACACATTTAAAATATCACTGTAACTGCATGAAGCAAGACACAAATAAATTGTTATCGCACGATAACGTTGTTTGAAAAATACAAGTCACTTTGTAAGTCATTTATTGTATAAACTTAGTTTATGAAAGGGGATGCTATGTTTTGGTTTTTTTTTTTCTTCTTTTTTTTTCAGGACATTTTTATCGCGGAAAAGTAAGATTTTCAATACAGTGTGGATCAATAAGATTTTCAAAATTTTATACACGAATGCTATGAAAAGATTTGCATTATTAAATTCATCTTACAAAATGTCCAAATATTGTGGAGATAATTTTACAAAACTACATTATTTGTTTTGAAAGAAAAATTGTGCGTCAACGACAATTTTTGGTATTTCAGTCTAATAAAAGGAGGAAATGATTGTTTTTGCATTTAACCGATCAAAGATGGAACATCAAAACATAAACCCCAATTGGCAACAACGTACGATAACTATCAAGGGAATTAAAGTAAAGTAAATTATAGTTTGCAATTTAAGCAGGGACAATAATGACCTTACACATGTCATTATTTTGTGCCTTGAATCATATTTTATTGAAACTTGGTATCGTCTGGGTTAATTCTTCGAAATAATGACATATCGTTCTGAAAGAAAATAACTCCATATAGGTAAATAACTAGGGGTATCATCAATTTTACTAACTATACACCAATATTCATTTATCATGTTTATTTTATACAATCTACGTACCCTGTACCCTTCGTTTTTTGAGCGTGTCGATCAAAGCGATCTAAAAGTTTTATTCTTACAAATGTACGCGTACTGCTACATTTTGATACGGATCATTACTCAACATCTTAGAACGAATCAGAACTTTGAATTTTATATAAAATATTAATGTCTTTAAGCATATGATCTTTATTGAAATCAACAATGTACATTAGCCGTTTGTTTTTAACTGAATAACCATTATAGTTTTCGATTTGTTGAAAGGCAGATCAAGGAGAAATGTTTCTTTCGAACACAGTTTAAGCGGTGTTTTTTTATTTGTATTGGTTATATCAAGAAACAAAGACATTATAATATTCTATCAATCGATGTAAAGCGGTTCTGGTCACATGTTAACTTAGTGTTGAGCATAGAAGCAAAAAATAACATTAAATCTCATACTTTAGATCAGTTATGGTTCAATTGGAGTTGTCAATATCGAAGTTAACTTATTGCAGGACTGGGTTGAATGTTAACTTCAGTAGCGGACCTGTCTGAAGTTAACTTTTTCTTCAGTCATAAAAACAGTCCTATGACCACGTCTGCTTTTCAATTTTGCTTGATTTTGGTCCTATGACAAGTCGAAGAAGTACTTGAACCTGTCGCAGGTTAACGTTGACTAGTCAAATCGACTGGGTATCTTTTCAACATAAAATGGACGCATATAAATATTTTTCACAATTTCTGTTGAGGACTTTACACTTCATAATTCGAGTATCACCGACACCATTAGTATCTCTGACATCATTTATCACCGACCATACGCACAACAAAAACCGGGCATAAACATCCCTCCAAAATAAATATCGAACCCAAAAATAACTTATTAACTTTATCTTTACATTTTTATAATATAGCAATTAATAGAGGTCTCTCAACATCTTACGAACGGACGAAACTCTACGAACGCATCGTTAAGGAGCAGTAATTTTGTTAAAATAAAATCCACGATAAATTTCTGCCGATATTACAGTGTGTTTCAAGACAACAGTTATCAATTTCATAGTCTTTTTTCAACCTTGCATTTTATTTTT